TTTTTAATTAATTAATTAATTAATTAATTAATTAGCTTCTCTTTCTAAGCAGAGAAAGCATTTGCCTCCCTAACCTGCAAGGATCCTGCTCTTGATCATCAGGCATTTGTGTTCAGCACTGTCCTCCAGTTAATCTTTATGACTCTGGCTCTTGGGAGTCCTGCTTTGCTCTAATCCCTTTCTGCTTAGCTGGTTTGCCTCAAGTGGGTAGTTATGGCTGAGTTTATTCTTTGGGTGAAACACAGCACATTTCCTAATTTTACTCTAAGTCAACATCTGTAGAGTGGTCTTTACATATCAAAGCGATTAAGTGGAGTGAGTCTATCTACATCTTCTGTATCTTCACTAATTTTCTGTCAAGTTGTTCTATTAATTCTATGAGGGGAACACTGAAATCTCCAACTGCAACTGTTGAATAGTCTCTTTCAATTCTGTCAGTTTTGCTTCATGTATTTGGGGGCTGTTTTTAGATATTATCCTTTTACAATTATTACATCATGATTGGCTTATCAACCCAAAATCATGAGAAACATTTTCCTGAAGACATATATTAACTGATCTATCCAGTGCAGCTACTATATAGTTTGTTTGTATTACGTATCTCTTCCCACCTTTTTCTTTTCAACCTACTTGAGTCTTCCAATCCAGTGTCACAAAGTTGTCCACACTTTGTGGACAAAGACAAAGAGAAAAGCTTATATAATTTTTCTTCCTCTAAAGTTTCTCCTTGTCCAAGTTTAGACATCTTTCTGTTTATCCTACTTGGGATTATTTGAGCATCTCGGATCTGCAGATTGTTTTTGTGTTTTTTTTTTTCCAAATTTGAACTTTTGGCCATTATTTCTTCAAATATGTTTTTCTTCCCCACTCTGTCTCTCATCTCTTTATGGGATTCCTATTATATGTTTGATGTCGTCTCATGGGTCTTTGCGGCTCTCTTTACTTTCCTTCTATTGCTCTCTTTGGAGCTCACTTATACCTGCTTCTCACATCTCCAAATGAGTGGTTGAACCACTGAGTTGAACCCAGCTAGTGAAAATTTTTGAAAATGTCAGTGTGGTTTTTTTTTTTCAACTCTAGAATGTGTGTGTGTGTGTGTGTGTGTATGTGTGTGTGGTTTCTATTTCTCTACTGATATCCTTGAGTTGCTGAATTGTTGTCATAATATTTCCTTTAATTATTTGAATGTGTTCATTATAGTTGCTTTGAAATCTTTTCCTGATAAAGCCAACAACTGAGCTCACTAAAAGTCAGTTTCTATCAACTACTTTTCTAACTATGAGTCACTCTTTCCTGTTTCCTTGTACATCTCATAATTTTTTGTAGAAAACTGGACATTTTAGCTAATATGTTGTAGCAACTATGAATTTTGATCAATTTTTTTAGTACTACAGAATTTATCTTCCCTACAGTATGCAGCTGTTAACATGTTTGCTGAGATTTTAATTGTAATTTTTGTTTCTTTCAGCCTAATTTCCTAGGGTTTACTTTTAGGTCTGCATAGCTGAGTAGCCTGCCAGTGGTCTGAGCAGAGGTTGTCATCAAACAGCCAAAGGCTGTGAGGCATTCACACTCTGCTGACCCATCTGTGTGGTGGTCAGGAGGACGTTCAAAGCATGGCCATGTGTTCTAGGCCCCTTGAATTTGCTTTCTGCTGAGCTCTCTCAGGTCTTCTCTGTGCATTCATGTAGTCTCCCAGTCATTCAGGGAAGAGCTTACTTAGCATGTTAGAGATGAGTAATGCTTCAGTGTCACACTCAGATGCAAAAAGAAGTAAAAACCACAGAAGCATGAGACCCTGATAGAATCATAAAGAAGTGTCTTGGGTGAGTAAAAACTGTAGAAATTACTTATCAAATATAACTGGAAAGGAAACCATCACGAGGTCACTTACTCAGGTGTAACCAAGATGGTTCGATTGTATCTCTTAAAATACAAGGCTTACCTCACCGTATTGTGACCTGGTGGTCCTCTACATAAAGGCCAACTTTTCAAGATGGCATAAAATGCCCTTTAATATCTAGCACATCTTATCAGCCTTATTTTTCACTTTGCGCCCATTGTCACACTGCCATGCGGTCCAACACGTCAACTCCTGTGCTGCCATAACTTCCCTCCACATGTCCCTACTTGCCTGACCACTTTAAACACAGAGAAAATGATACACATTTTGTGATCCTATTTCTGATTTCTCAAGACAAAGTACACTCAACTTCCTTGTGTGTAATAAACAAGAGAGAAAGAAGGATGTTCAAAAAATGATACATCTTTGGCTGGCTATGCTATGGACTGAGATTTAACTTATATCCTCATGTCCCCTCACACAACAAAATAAATAGTAGGCTAAAGATGAAATTTTAAAAAGTATAGAAATAAAATAAGAGGGTTTTGGTTAAACATGATAGACTGAACAAAAGACATGTCTTTACTCCTGAAAACTCACTAAAATCATTTTAATGCCTACAGGGAGAAGGTAACAAGAAGTGAAATAGTTTCTGCCCTTGAGTTCCAGAAAGATTCAGGCATTTGAAGGCTGGGGTGTGGCACTGGGCTGAAAACAGGAGGCTTGGACGAAGGGAGTGGTTGGGATAGTCACATCTCTTCCTCTACCCTAGGATTCCTTCCTCACCTCTGCAGAGGACTGGAGACCAATCCATTCCCTGGAGAAATTGAACCAGACAGGCCTTGAACTCTGGAACATTAGCATAGCTTAAAGTAGGGGGTGAGCCACCACACACTGAAAAAGGTATGTTTGGGGGGTGTCAATTTAAAGTCTTAATAATAATTAATGGGATTTCCCAGAATTCTGAGAGGCAGCCTTATAATTTACCCTTTAGACCAGAGACTGGAGGATTTTTTTTTTTTTAAGATTTTATTTATTTATTTGAGAGAGTGACAGAGCAAGCATGAACAAGGTGGGGGGAGACGGGCAGAGGGAGAGGGAGAAGCAGACTCCCCTCTGAGCAGGGAGCTGATGCAGGGCTTGATCCCAGGACCCTGGGATCATGACCTGAGCTGAAGGCAGATGCTTAACCACCTGAGCCACCCAGGCGCTCTGATTTTTTTTTTTTTATATGTGAAACTGACAAGCTCTAAGCAAAGGACTTCTATATACTGATATACAGAGGAGGCTACCCACAGAAACAGCAGCACCCCTACTTATTCTGAAACCCATCCACTGACAGTCTTGCCTCTGCATGAAAGGCTTCCAATCAGCTTTTCTTGTTTCTGGTTTCTTTTCTTTCCTTTTTTCTCCCCAGCTGACCACTAGAAATTATTCTTTATTGCGTAAGCCTTTAAACTTTAAAGCAAAAGAAATGTTAATTTTAGTGTTTAGTAGTTTAGTAGTGCCCCGGGCCTTGGGGCATTACTCAGCCTCTCTCACCTGATGGGGTTCAGTGAAGAAACATCACTTACCAACCACCAGCCCTCAAATCTTGTTAGCTGAAAAGAGCCAATGCTTTAAAAGAATCTAATAGATAATTTGCCTTTGCAGTATAGAGCATTCTCATCAAAATTATTATTCCAAGTTGCCTCGTCTGTGATCTAAGAGTTACCAGTACCTACTTTACTTGTAATAAACAATCCAATCCTTATGCAGAAATATAATCAAACAGTGTAAGAAAAATCCTCAAACTTGAATGGCCTCAGGAAAAGGGACACAGAGGTCATTCTACTTTTCTATTATTCGGGGGTAAAAAACAAGCAACAGACAGCAAAGGCTGTAGGGATGACAGTGCAGTCTGATGACAGACCCAACTATGGCAGGGGCAGTGGCTGCTGAGGAGATGGTGGCAGACATGATCACGATGGGACTGGTGGCAGCTTAGGTGACAGGGCATCTCCTCATGGTCAATCCAGGAGTGACAGCAGCTGAGGTGGCTGCAGCCCAAGGACCACAGACCTTACTGGTGAGGGATGCACAGTGGCTATTGGTAAGAGGCTATAACAAAGTTGCTGTGACTACAAGTTATGAGACCCTTTCTCTTAATTCTCAAAGGGAACACCACTGTGGGTAGACAGAGGCCCCTGGCCAACTGTAGGTAGAACTGCTTCTTGTGGTTGGAGCTGTGGACTGAGCAAGCTCTTCACAAATGTCAAGGTAAATAGTCTGTTCAACTCTACGGTGTTTATAGGTAAGCAACCTCTTCTGTGGCCCAGGAAACTGGAAAATGAGGAGGGATGAGCAGCTGGCTGCTAGAGACAGGGACCTCGGGTCTGTGTGGCCTCAGGGTCAGTGCTCTCGTGTCCCTCCCGTGGTATTGTGGGGGCCAGCTCCCCGTTCCAAAGTCTCATGGTGGGGAACTGGCATCCCTGGCCACCCAGGCTGGGCACTGAGAGAGAAGTGGAGGGACTGTTGGTGGGGCTGGAGGTTGTGTGTGCAGGGGCCGCAGACTTGGCAGAGGCGGGCTTCTTCCACAGCCTCGAACATGGGAACACTCTTTCTGGGCCACTGACCCATTCCCCAGTGAATGGCACAAACTGGGCCTAGCCAGACACTTCCTTGTTTTTCAATTGCCCAACGCTCCAAATCCTCAGAGCTTACCCCCGTGGCTTCCCACACACTGTGCCCATCGCTCACACATGTGTGTGCTGCCACATCTCTGGCTCCAGGAAAACTGCTTCATGCCAGTCCTCCTCCTCCTCCTCCCACCTACGGTTGGGCCAGCGTCCGCCAGGGCTTTCGGCACTGCTTACCCAGTCCTGCTCTTTTTTAAAGATTTTATTTATTTATTCATAGACAGACACAGAGAGAGAGAGAGAGAGAGAGAGAGAGAGAGAGAGAGGCAGAGACACAGGCAGAAGGAGAAGCAGGCACCATGCAGAGAGCCTGACGTGGGACCTGATCCAGGGTCTCCAGGATCACGCCCTGGGCTGCAGGCGGCGCTAAACCACTACACCACCGGGGCTGCCCCCCAGTCCTGCTCTTGAAAATGAATTATTTTGAGTAGTTTCAAGTTTGTACATTAAGAGGGTTTATATACACGTACTTATTGACAATGACCGTGGAGGCGGAAGATAGTGATGGTGACTTGCATCCAGGTAGCCGAGGGCCAGGAGGGTCTGTGCCATACTTGTTTGGCCTAGGATCAAGTTAGGAGGGGAAGGGAAGCCTGTCGGGAAATAGTGGAGCCACAGTGGGCCAGACTGGAGGGCTCAGGGTTGGTGATATTCAGGATCTTCAGAAAGGAAAAGAGCCAGTGTCCAGGCAGCTGATAACCCTGGGCCGTTAGTTCAGAGCCACACCCCCTCCAGACAGCCCTACAGACAAACCCCGACCTCTTCTCTTTCAGGAACAGATATCACCTTCTTCTCGTCTTTCCTGTTCCCCACCTACTACCTGTCAGCCAACAGCCCCAACAGCCGCAGCAGCCCCAGAGTGAACGCCCCCAGGACCTGAGGCTGCAAGGAAGGATAAGCCTCCCTCTCTGCCATCTGCTCACTTGGTGAGGGGGAGGGAATAGAAAGAACCGAGCATTCCTCACATCCTCACTGCCACAATCTTTAGCTTGTCCCACATTTGAGAGCAGTCCCCCATAGGAAATAAAAACTGATATGGAACAAACGTGTCTTCCCAATCACCACAAAGGCAGTCTGCCAAGTTGAAGGTGGTGCATGCCCCTCCCAAGGTGGGATGGAAAGAACCCCCTGAAGTTTCCCGACACACGGGACTAGGGTGGCTATGTCGCCCTCTTATTTGTGTAGGCCGTACCTGATTTTTGGACAGTGTTATGGTCCTGCTAATCTTTTACACAGAAACGAGTAACTGGTCTCCTGAGCTCTGACCTGTTAGGTTTCTGTCGCCCTCTGTTTTTGCCTTTGTCCTGCTCTAGTTCATATGTTGAAACCCTGCTTCCGAAGGTGAGGGTGTCAGGAGGTAGGGCCTTTTGGGGAGGTGACTGGGGTTAAGTGAGGTCCTGAGTGTGAAGCCCTTGTGAATGGGAACAGTGCCCTCATACAGCTCAGGAGAGAACTTGCTTCATCTGCTGGCTCTGCCGTGGGAGGACACTGTGAGAAGCCAGCCATGGGCAACCAGAAAAGGACTCTCCAGAGCCATGCTGGCACCTTAATCTTACACTTCCAGTCTCTGGAACTGTGAGAAATAAATGTTTATTGTTTATGTGCCACCCAGTAGATGGTATTCTGTCATAGCAGCCTGGACCAGACATTGTTAGACGTGGTGATTGGATAAGACTGGAGACTGGGCTCAGGACTCTCCGTAGGACTGTGGCCTCATTGACACAGATCTCCAAAAATGGAACAAAGAAATAATAATTTAAATCTGGACAGCTTACAGGACCATTAATTCAGGACATGAGTATTTTAAAATACATATATACCTTTTCTGATATACATTATTACTTTTGAAGTAAGACTGATGATTATAAGGAGACATACAAAAGCAACAGGAAAATAAGCAAAAAAAAACAAATAAATGCAAAAGAATATGAATTATATATTTGCAAACATTGTACCATAACAAATAAGGACTGTAAGGAGCTATTTATTTTCTAGCTAAAATATATTCCAAAGAAGTGAGTCTGCCATCTGCCAGAGAATTGAGGAACATTGGAGGTTGATGATGATATACTTCTGGGTCTCCTTTAGAAACCCCACTGCATTTCCCTCATAATGTACTTTTTAGTGGCAGTTCAAAGAACAAGTGTTATGGGATCCCTGGATGGCTCGGCAGTTTAGCGCTGTCTTCAGCCCAGGGTGTGGTCCTGGAGTCCTGGAATCAAGTCCCACGTCGGGCTCCCGGCATGGAGCCTGCTTCTCCCTCTGCCTGTGTCTCTGCCTCTCTCTCTCTCTCTCTCTCTCTCTCTCTCTCTGTCTCTCATGAATAAATAAACAAACTCTTTTAAAAAAAGTGTTATAAATCTGGAAATAATGTTGAAATATCTCAGTCACTAAATGTGTAACAGTAGATCTCAGGGCCTTCAGGGCATTAAAATACCTCTGCCCCGTTTAACGGACTTTTAGGTTTAATACATAGGCCATATTAATGGAATTTGGTGCCAACATATAAATAGGCCACAAATGGAAACTGAAACAGTATAGTCAAAATACATGTTTTGAATAATTTTTATACTCAGTGACAGTAATGACATGTTATACAAAAGAGTCTTAAGGTTTGAATTTATATAAAGACTTGAATAAAAAAAAAAGACTTGAATATAGATTTTTTGGCTATATATACAACTATGAAAATACAAGAGTACTTCCAAAGAGAAAAAATGGTCAACCACTAAGTATGCCGTTTGATATATGCACACATTGAAAAGGAGAAACTTTGATATCACTTCTTGTCTTCTATGGACCTTAACAAACAGTCTCTTAGATGATGTAAGGTTTTCCTTATACAACTTTAGGAATATATTTTTATGGACTATAGAAAGAAATATACCATTTCATATTTAGAGCTGCATAAAGAAATGAACACCTCTGGTATAAATAAAGGTAAATATAAAAATATTTTCTTCCTTATCTTAACTGCTCTAAAAGATAACTATCTAAAACAAAGATCAGTTGTACCAGTACATTTTGTTTTTATAACATATGTAGAAGTATAACATATGCTAACTATAGCACAGAGGATGGAAGGGTAGAATTGGAAATGCAATGTTGTAAGACCCTTAAATAATTTATGAAATACTATAATATCATTTGAAGATGGGCTGTTATAAATTAGAGATGTATACCTAGGGTAAGCACTAAATTTTTTTTAAAGATTTTATTTATTTATTCATGAGAGAGAGAGAGAGAGAGAGAGAGAGAGAGAGAGAGAGAGAGATACAGGCAGAGGGAGAAGCAGGCTCCATGCAGGGAGCCCGATGTGGGACTTGATCCCGAGTCTCCAGGATCACATCCTGTGCTGAAGGCTGCACTAAACCGCTGAGCCATCTGGGCTGCCCACTAATTTTTTTTTTAAATGAGGTAAAAATAGTAAGTCTGTAGTAGTTATAAAATGAAGCCCAAAAGACCCCACCAACACTCAAGTAATCCAAAAGGCGGCTGAAAGAGATGGAATGAACAAAAATGGAATGAACAAAATGATTACAAAATGGTAAATTTTAATCCTCATATCACAATTACATTAAATGCAAATGGCCTAAATGCACTAATTAAATCACAAAAATTACTTGGATAAAATGAAAAGATTAGATACAAAACAATAGTCAAGAATATACTACCTACAAGAAACTTACCTTAAGTATAAAGACATAGTGTAAAAAATTTACACAAGCTTAAGTCCCTATGTATGTGTTAGGGCACATGGAAAGTCCAAAGCTAGTCATGCAGGACTGTAACCCTTTCCCCACCCAAGACTAGACTGCACAAAATGTAAAAACCTGTGGGTCAACAGGAGGCCGGGCCCTGAGTCTACACAGTTGCCAGAGCTCCACCTGTTCCTTTGACTACCACATGACGCCATTTTCAGCCTCTTCTCAGTTGTCTCTAAGCATTCGGCTGGTAGACAGATCTTTTACCATGAACTTTTCTACTGACCATGAACTCAGCTCCAGAGGATCCTATCTTTACTCTCAGGACTGCAGCACGTGGTGACACAGGTAACACTCATCTGAGGTCCTATCCCCTGAGGCACTGTGTGTGAGCCACTGATAGCATGGGGTCTAATAGTTTCCCATCCTTCCCCATCTTGGGACTCTCTTTTTCCCCCCAGATTAGATACCTCCCTTTCTTGAATAATTCAGCTCTATCCCCCAATTAGCCTAGGTTAAAAAACAAAAACATCTTAGCTCTTTCATGGTGACCAAGAAGCCATAGGTGTTAGTTTACACAGTTCCGTCAAGGGGGCTGTGATGTGGTGAGGAAGTAACTCTGTATCGGTTAGACTTACATTCACCCATAAATAATAGGAAAACCACCTACAGCCTCTTGAAAGATAGCACCTTATTTTTCTCACTTAACAAGCAGTGCTGATGTCAGGGTTGATGTATCTGATTCTCCTGACCTTTCTCTCCTGGCTACATGATGACACTGTAGGTCTAGCCATCAATGCTGCACTCAAGAGAGAAAGAGAAAGGGAGAGACAGAGGTAATGCTGGTCTCATTTGTTCTCTTTCTTTCTGGAAAGCAGAATCTTTCTCAGCACTCCCTTCTCCTTTGACTAGCAGCCCCAGGTGTGTCCCCTGGGCCAGAACTGGGTCCCAGAGACTTCTGGAGGCAAGGAAAGATGGACTAGCCAGTAGGGTGGTTTCCAGGCTATAGAGTGAAAGGCACAAAGGGACAGGAGGTTTGAGAGTGGCATTTTAGTAGCCATTTCATTATCTTCCATAACCCCTCATCTTTCCTGATGAGTAGGAAACAAGGCAGAGTGAATTTCACCAATACAGTATCCCGGTATTTGTGCCACAGCAGGTTATTACATAAATGGGATGTCCAGACCCTACAGGTTAGCACCATGGAACCCTGGCAGGTCACATAAAAGAAAGAGCAGAACATATTGTGCATCATAAATTGGGGGAAAGTGGCCAGAGGAGAACAAGTGTTGGGAGGGTTGGGAGTGAAACGGGGCAGGATCACAGAGACACTGAGATAGAGAAACACACAGACAGCAGCAGCCGAAGGCCCCTGTCAGAGGCAGAAAGGGAAAAAAATCTCAGATGCCATGCGGTAGACACGGGCATCACATCTGTGGAATATCTACCCCTGAATGGATGGAATGAAGAATTCCGCAGGCCAAGTCAAGTTGACGCTGTTTCTTACTGTCATTCTGACCTTATCATGTGCCTGGCCTGCAGTGGGAAAACATAAGTTACACCACTAAATCTGATATATCAATAAAGTTGTACCTGACAAATATCATTTCTTTATAGTCTTTAAGAAAAGAGACTTTTCTTTGATATAAATATGAACTATCTGATAGTTGAGAGGTCACTAAGAGGTCACAGAAGCCAGAGAAATTTATTAGATAAATTCTCCATTCGATCCTACATCCCAATTCCATAAATTTCAATTTTGTTTCTATTAATTAAATTCCTTTTCTTCGCATGGGCCCAAATCGTTGGGAATTGTACCTGTGCATGCGTACATGTGAATGCATTCAACAAAACCTGTCGCCTTGCTCCCTTTTTTCTTACCAACTAATTTATCAATTCAACAAATATGTACAGAGCACCTTCTCTCTCCTTTTCCCTTTCCTACTCTCACACTTTAGACCTGAAAGGAGTCTGATGAGAATTACAGGTGGTGGTTTGGGCTGAGGAGCGACAAAGCACATCCACTCTGGACCGATATGCGGAAACTTCTCACCCTCCCCCCACCTCAGGTCCTGGAAAAGAGCAGTAATAAATTAGAAGGATCAATTACATGTCTAGCTCTGCCACTATCATGCTGGGTATGTCATAAGACTTC